GATCAAACGCACTATTGCTATCAACAAGCCCAAGACGACTAAGCCGTCGAAGAAGCATGCGAAGGCGAAGTCAGCCTCATGAGAGTGCCGACTAGTTTCATGATAAGTTTTGCTAGAGGTGCTACTGCCCTCATCGTGGGGTCGGAGAGATTGCCGCCGCGACACTGCAAAGCAGTGCGCATGCAAACGTGATCATTAATACGAACCTGGTGCTTTCCACGTGTGCAGTTACAGTTATAGTTATATAGCTTTCATACCGGAGGTGTGCAATCCCGCTACGTGCGGCTGCATAGAGCAGTCTTCAAAGTCCAAATTTGAAGGTCTTAGGATGATCCTGCTGGGGTGTGCTGCTGCGGGCGAAACACACCATGTTGTTTTGCACATGCTTCGACGCTTCGCAATCGAATAACAATTCCTATTGGCTCTTGTCCTCTATTGCGCAGACAGCTCGAGCTTGACATCAAGATTGGTAGCTGCTGTTGGTGGCGGGGCTTCTTGGGCTGCAAATTCCCCCTTGCGATCCGAGTTTCTTCTGAACATCACGTTGAAAATGCTGTGCGCCCAGGAGATCAGCGCCTCGGTTGCTCAAGACATTGCACAATGTGTTCGTGAGGACACGGTGTACGCAGGAGTTACATGTTCTGGTCCCTTTGATCCAATGATGGCTTTTTTGCAGGATGTTGGGTCCCGTACGCCGGCTTCGGTCAGCAAGATTGCTAGTGCTGGGAACTTTGGGAGTCAGCAGGGAAATATCCGTCGGGACGTGCATCGAGCCTCACACGCACTGCTCCAGACAGAGGCAGAAACTTCCCAGTAGTAATAATACAAAGTTAGTTTAACGACAGTCTTTAGCAACAGCTATACTACTGTTGATGGACAAAATCCTGCATGACCTTAAGGACCCTAAACTATGGGAACTATGGTATATTCCTTATAACGGGTAATGCAGGATTTTGTCCATCAACAGTAGTAATTGTCAGATAGTTTGGCATCGCGCTTTCCAAATTCTCGCCATCCCGAACAGGCACTGAAGCAGCACTTCATCAAGATCCCTCTGAAGCCGGAACCTTCCGCCCTGAATGAAGAAGCATCGGCAGCTGCTGCCGGTTCCAATGACACGGTTTTGACGGATGTACCCGTACTATGTCCCCATGAAGTCATCATGTACCTTTTGAAAGAGAAGCTTCTGACACTCGACGACTCGGCTGCGAAGCACTTCTGGTCCCACCACCAAACACAAAGCACACCGTGGCTTGGTGACTGCAAACTCGAGAAAGATGGCTACGTAGTACATCCGGTTGCCCTCTACGGTGATGAGTGCGAGTACACTGCGACGAAGGAGAAAGTCCTGATGATATTCTTAAGCTTCCTGGTTTCAAATAGAATTATACAATTAATCATGTGGGGATCAGATACGTAGAGGTGTGCGTCCAAGTATACAATATTGATGACAGCCTTGGGCCCTTTAATTACGTACTACGAGCCACAGACCTAAAAACCAATGCCCTAGATAATCCCAAACCCTAAATCCCAAACCCGAATTAATCACAAAGCCTGAATCCGCACAGAACCCAGCCCGTGCAGAACCCCTCTTTGCCAAATAAACAAGTCTCAGGCCTGCCGCTCTACGATGACCAACTGAAGTCTGTATGGCGCACAAGATTTCCGCTATTCTGCCTGAGAGAAAATCGAATAGCTGGCCCCGAATCCTTGGAGCCAATCTGGCTGTTTATCACATGGTCCCTGAATTGCTGCTACTTGGGCAAGGTTCCCCACAAGGATGTCCACGGCAATGCTTGGCGCAGTCAAGGGCTGCCGCCGGGCCAGGACATTGGGTTCAGGTGCCGACTGTGGGAGATGCGTGGGGACTGGAAATACCATTACCAAGTCTTCGGCTTAAAGTCAACTTGGATGTCGGATTACTGTTGCCATCGCTGCCTGGCTACCAAATCGAAGCCTGTTCATTTGAGCTATGTCGATTTCACTTCCCAACCACGATGGTTGTCAACAGAGCGCAGCCATGAGCAATTCATATCCGAGCAACTTCCTGACGACAGAAGCTGGAACCCGATCCTATTTTGCATTGGATTCAACTTTCGAATGCTGCGGATATGCTCGATGCACACCTGCCAACTTGGAATCGGACTACACTTGAACGGCAGTGCCCTACGCGAATTGTTGGATGCTGGTGCCTTTCCAGGAGCCAGTACTTCGGAGAGATTCACCAAAGCGTTTGGTCATTTCCGGCAGTGGACCAGACAACAAGGCATCAGCTGCTCGCAGAGCTGCTTCAAACCATATATGTTGGTTTCAAAATCCGGAGAGGAGTTCTGCTATTTTCAGACCAAAGACGCTTGGCAGCTGCAACATTTTCGGCAAGACAGCTTGGGGATCGTATAGCTTACTATTTATAGTCCAATCATCTTACGAGAGATGCCCCTAATCGCTTAAAGTATATAGGGCCGGCTTGAGGCTGGCAACTTCCGGTTTATCACATAGACTGCCCTATCAACCCGAAGCCTATAAATGTATTCTAAAATTACTTTAGTGTAGTATGGGGTTAATTAGAGTACTTTTTTATTGGTCCCTATAAATGTATTCTAAAAATACTTTAGTGTAGTATGGGGTTAGAGTACTTTTTTTATTGGTGCTACCAGGCATACAACGGTCGAGTCGTTACTTCGTGGCTTGCGTCGGTTTGTGCAGAAGTTGCACTTGTGCACAAGACCGAGCGGCTCCAACTGACCGCCCATGCTGTTTGGCATCTGCACGATTTCTACTGCAAGATCGAGTCTGCAGGCCGGTACTTGACTCTGGAGGCCCGCTTCGTGCCTCTAGCTAGTTAGCTAGTTAGCTAGTTACGTTCGTTTTTGGTGAGCCGCCCGTGAACAGGAAGCCACTGCCATACGCGACACGGGGCTACAGCACCTAGTTAGCTACACAAGGCTGGCGCGCATTGCGGTGGCTGAAGGAAGGCACATCGGCCAAAGTCCGCGTGCCATCGGTAGAGTCATGCCTCGCCCCTGGAGGCTGGCGTGGCAGCTTCGCCCCAAGCACCACTGGTACCATCATATACTGATCGACTGTGTTGCCGAATTGGTGAACCCACGAACGTTCCATTGTTTTCGCGGTGAAGCTGCGATGAAGTTCGCGAAGAGCCGCTCTGTCAAACTTCGCACATGTACTCTCGTGTTCGATTCGTTTTATTGGATTTGTGCGCTTCACAAGTATACCTGACCATTTGTGCTAGAGACGTAAGGATTGGCACAAGCGGCACACCGAGCAACACTGAAATCGACCGTGCTGACCGAATGGTACTTGAGGCAAGGGACTGGGATTTAGACGTGAGCTGATTTCCTTAATGCTTGTGCGGCAGGATCGTGGCTCTGAGGCGGCTGGGGACGAAGAGAAAGCACAGCGGCGAGTGCGAAAACACTTCTTTGTGTGCAGCGGCTGGCTTATATAACGCCCCGGCCCAATGTAAGTTTACATCAATCCCGCAAATGCGATGACCTTGATGCAAGGACGCACCAAGAGGTGGAACGGCCAAACCCTCATTATTCAACACCCCGGATGCTCAGGGTAAGGTTTAGGGGTTTAGGGTTAAGGGTTTAGGATAGGGCTTAGGGTTCAGGATTTACGCTTGGCCGAGACTCCGCCGAGACCCGGCCGAGACCCTTTTTCGGGGTTCGCAAGGGTTTAGGGACTAGGGTTAACGGCTTAGGAGGGTTTAAGGTTTTAGAGTTGAAGCTTTACGGTTTAGGGTTTAGGGTTTGGGTGTAAGGTTTAGGGTTTAGGGTTGTGGTTTAGGGTTTGGGCTTTGGGTCTAAGGTTTAGGGTTTAGGGTTCTGGTTTAGGGTTAAGGACTTGGTTGTAAGGTTTAGGGGTTTAGGGTTAAGGGTTTAGGACATAGGGCTTAGGGTTCAGGATTTACGCTTGGCCGAGACTCCGCCGAGACCCGGCCGAGACCCGGATTTAGGGTTCGCCAGGGTTTAGGGATTAGGGTTAAGGGCTTACGAGGGTTTAGGGTTTAGGGTTTTGGGTTGTGCTCTAGGGTTTAGGGTTAGGGTTTGGGAGTAAGGTTTAGGGTTTAAGGTTCTGGTTTAGGGTTTAGGGTTTGGGTGTAGGGTTTAGGGTTTAGGTGTAGGGTTTAGGGTTAAGGACTTGGTTGTAACGTTTAGGGGTTTAGGGTTAAGGGTTTAGGATAGGGCTTAGGGCTCAGGATTTACGCTTGGCCGAGACTCCGCCGAGACCCGGCCGAGATCCTTTTTCGGGGTTCGCCAGGGTTTTTTTTTTAAGTGCAGTAGCCCCTTTCTCCACAGCTGCAGGGTTTAGGGATTAGGGTTAACGGCTTAGGAGGGTTTAAGGTTTTAGAGTTGAAGCTTTACGGTTTAGGGTTTGGGTGTAAGGTTTAGGGTCTAGGGTTGTGGTTCAGGGTTTGGGCTTTAGGTCTAAGGTTTACAGTTTAGGGTTCTGGTTTAGGGTTAAGGACTTGGTTGTAAGGTTTAGGGGTTTAGGGTTAAGGGTTTAGGACATAGGGCTTAGGGTTCAGGATTTACGCTTGGCCGAGACTCCGCCGAGACCCGGCCGAGACGTTCGCCAGGGTTTAGGGATTAGGGTTAACGGCTTAGGAGGGTTTAAGGTTTTAGAGTTGAAGCTTTACGGTTTAGGGTTTAGGGTTTGGGAGTAAGGTTTAGGGTTTAAGGTTCTGGTTTAGGGATTAGGGTTTGGGTGTAAGGGTTAGGGTTTAGGGTTGTGGTTTAGGGTTTCGGTGTAAGGTTTAGGGTTTAGGCTTTGGGCGTAAGGTCTAGGGTTTAGGGTTGTGGTTTAGGGTTAATGGCCTAGGCCTGAACAGATGTCCTGTGTCGTAGACGCCTCACCATGGCCGTGACATGGCCGAGACATTGGAATGTGTAAGCCGAGACGTCAACTGAGACATAAAAAAAGACATTTTGACACAAAAAAAAAAACAAAAAGGATACGCGACCCTCAAGTCTCGCCTCTGCTGGACTTGCGAAGCTGAAAGAGCATCTTGGGCCTCGCAGTCGATACTGGACATCAGGGAGTACTTGAGGTCTTCGTGGTTGCGCTCAAACCAGAGCTTGTGGCTTATGCGTGCAAATTTCATTGTTGATGGGTTACGGCTGCGTGCGCATGATGGTTGAAATTGTCATCACTTGCAAGTTGTAACTTGTAACGGAAATTTAAAGCCTGGGCAAGCTGCTAATGACTACGTGAACCATGGAGTGAGCCTGCTTGTGCATGGTTGGAATCCGCAAGAACAGTTGCGTTCAACGGGGCCATGTGGGCTGGTCCACAATACATGGTGAGTCCTTGCCCGGGATGCCGCTGTTAAGGGGATAAACTGTATGTACACATGGTTCCAACTCCAGCTGCGACGTTGTGAACGCACGAAGGAAGCCTGAGCCAACTCTTTAATTCGGGATGGGTCTGAATACACACACTGTTCAAGCTGCTTTAAGAGGAACTGCTACAAATCTACAAATGTTCAGGATTCAGGCTTCTGATTGCTCATCGCACGACTGTGTTTAGGGTATAGGCCCAGTATAGTTCGCGCAAGGTTTACAGGGAACGAAGGTACATTAGTCAACAGGAGCGATAAAAACATCTGGACTTTGTCGTGGTGTGCTGGTAAGTACGCTAGGGATTGAACTATCCAGGTTCATCATAACAGAGATTTGTTGAGGTAGCAACGACATAACGGAAGCCATTCCTTCGACTCACCGCCTCATCCAACACATGAGAATGGACAAGAGCCGGATTCAGCGAGAATAGGGAAAGCAGCATCAAGAGCAGTCACGCAGAAGTTTCGATGATGCCGTGAACTTCTCCACAAGAACTGCGTCTGGAATTTAGGGCCGCTTAGGGCATATAGGCTTTAGGGACTCTGTGGGAGACTGGCTCGGCTTCATCCAAAGCCTTGAACTCGGAGGTGACCAGGCTGAGGCCTGTCGAGATGCTCTCCGCGCATTGTAAACAGTCGGTTGGAGCTCTTTAAACACCACAGGCCCGGCCGTAGCTGCTGAACCCGCATCTTCGGTAGGCGCGACCTTCGTGCTCTGGTTGATTTGGTTCGAGGAACAAGTTAAACTAACTTTCGACAAAGTCGCAGAGTCTTCGTGAAGATGCGAGAAGATGCTTGCAAGACTGTCGAAATTCTAAAACCCGTGTCTCCAGACCCTGTTCTTCCAGCAGAAAGGACGAAGCCCACCTCGCTGCACCGCGGAACGGGGCAGCTTTGAGCATGCTGCAGTGCCTTGGAAACGCCGACACTGAACCATTCACCCCACGGGAACCCATACAAAACCTCAGTCCGTGGTGCGCTGGTGTGTGTCCATCCCTGCCAGCAAGACACAGAAATTACCAGATCGGTGCCGAACTGCTCACGTATATGCTCTGACGTCTGACTCCCAGGGCAGAGCACTACAACATGCTTCGACTCTTAGGGCTGATCTGTCAAAGCACATAACAGTCCCTCGAAAATAACTCAGCCCCTGGCAGCACATGGTAGCCTCTCGGACGACGGTCGTACCCGGACGAAACTTTGACAGTTTCGTTCCATGGATTACACTGCCGATAGGTACAACTGCAGCACCAAAGCAAGAACTGTGCAATACTGTGCAGGTTCAATTTTCCCATCCTTTTGCGTGTGGTCCTGGTAGCAACACTATTGGCCCTACCATCTGCCACAACGACTTGGTCACAGCACTGTTGGCTGTGCAGCGATCTGTTGCCGGCTGACACATTAGCCGACGCGGTATGTGCCCCAGGGCACAACTGCAGGATCATACACATTCCCAGTGATGCTCCACTGGGTAAGGCCCTCGTATACATTTGACACCAGCCCAGGCTTGCGAGCAGCGTAGCCCTCCCCAAAGATCCACTCTTCACCTTCACGTCTGAATGAATCGGGGGTGCCCCACCTGTCCCACAAAGCAAATTCGACCTCGTCCTCTGACGACAGGATCAGAGATTCGGCTTTCGTGTTCAGGAACGCAAAATTCGCACCAAAAACTAAGGGAAAAGGCGCACCTGGGAAGAGTGTAAAGGGATCCGGGTTCTTCAGAAATATCACCCAAATCGTCTCGCCTGCTGCCATGTCGAGTGGTGGGAAATTAGCTGTGCTGGTGTTGCCACTGCTGCTGATGAGGCTGATGCTGAAGTTCTGGAAAAGCTTCGGCAGCATGCCGCTTGGTGCCGGGGGACAAGCGGAAATAGGTGGAGTCACGCAGTAGGCGCCCCAGGGAACGGAGGCCAAACTGCTGGAAACAAAGTACTGTCCACTGCCGTCGGCAGTCCCGAGTAAGACTGCGGCGGCACTAAGCGGCAAGAGTCCGGGCCGACGCGATGCAAAGCCTTGCAAACTCCAGACCCAGGCGTCCGTGTATTCGCCGGAAACAAAATCGTAGAGGAGCAAAGAGTCGCCAATGCCAATCGCGGGATTGAAGTCGAAGTCCACCTGAAAATCAGGCTTCAGCCCTGGGATGAGTTGGAGCGAGTCAGAAGTGTTGAAGGCAACCGTGATGGAAGTGCCTTGAGGTATGCTCCTCCTCGCTCCCAAAAAGCTAGTTGTAATGAAAACAAGAAGGCCGGCAACGTCAAGATCGCGGACATCAGACACTGTGAGCGACACCATCAGCTGCACAACAAGCCTCCTGCTTGCATGTCGGGTCCGTGTCCGTGTCGTTCGGGAGAGCTGCCACGATAAGGCCCGTCGCCACAAAGCTCCAGAACTTCGCAAACATGGCGTGGGACAGCGCAGCGGCACTTGCTATTTTTTGAGCACAAATCTTACAAAGGGCTGTCCATCAAGCTTGCGCTGACTCCCTCGATGATGAGATTGTCACTTGTTGCTGGGGAACTGTGTGGCGAAGCTGTGCAAGAGAAAAGCCGTGTTATTGGGCGAGAACCGTCTCGACATACTTATATAGTACTACATAATTACATAAGCAAACTAGGCCACCAGGCGGAGATCGATGGCGCCCTGCTATTCAGCAAGGCCGTGTAAGCGGAGAAAAGCCGAACATGGATCCTATTAAAAAACTACTTTCGGCCTCGGGCTCTGAAATCTGCGCACAAGGCACCAGGGGGTCCTGAAGACCGTGCCTCGGAGAAGGGGCGAGGCCATACAAGCCGCGACCAGCGGCGTCCTGAGGCAGAGTTCAGAGAGTTCAGAATGCAAAGCGCAGTGGAAGCTGCAACGAAAAGACGACATGGGAGCGAGAACTTGCCGGACCGGAGTCGGAGGACGAGAGTCACGGCGACAACGCAGAGCAGAACCACACCTAGGTGCAGGGTATGAGGCTTTAAGGATGTATGCCTGGCATTGGCCCTTGATTGTATCAGTATCCTGAAAGGAGTTGGCGGTCCGAGAGAAAAAAGTGGTGATTCCACACAAAATTCCAGAATCCGAGTAGGGTAGCATGGGTGGCAAACCTAGGAACGGTGAACGAGATCACCCAACAGGATGGGTGGCAAGCCGTAACAGCGAATAGAGATGTCGGCGGATATCCACACCCCGGCCCTGGCCCCTGGCTGGGAGGAAAAGGGTCTGTCACGCCTTCGTGTTGCTGAAACCACAGTAGCTGCCACATGAAGCATGATCCTACAAGGCTGCCCATGATAAGACCACGAACACTCACGACTTTCCAAATTGCCCGGCTTGCACTCAGTGATGTTATAATTGTTATATGTTGCATACTATATAAGGTATGTTAAATATTGCACGGTGCATATTGCATTACTTACAATATGCCTCACTATGCAGTACATACAAATCCTCGAAGCATGTCATACAGCACAAGATGCGTTGAAAGCAGCAGAACCCCCGAAGAATCCGCCAAGCTTCAAACTGGAGCATGGAATGTGATGGAGCAAGAGCAATTGAAAAAAAGTGAACTGACACAAAAGAGGCCGCGGTGTTTTCCTCTCCGATGCACGGTCTTCCTCACAGAACCCGAAGTGCGAAGGGAGAGAGCAGTTGGTGGGGGAGAGAAGGAAGCAAGGGAAGGAAACGGTGCACAAGGGGAGAGGGCGAGCAGATCGACCACGGTGGAGAAGAAGGGCGCGCTTTTTCGTCAGCCATGCGTCTGATTGTGATTGGCAGGAGCCTTCACCAAGAGACATCACAACTGATAGGTTTGCCACCAGCTGATTTCAACAGGGATGTGCACACTCAGCCACTCAGCGGTCTGCGCACTTTGGAAAGATTGGCATCAGCGAAATTCATGGCATGGATTTTCCGACTGCAACCTTGTTCACTTCTGTAAGGGATGCTGCATGAGGATGTAGAGAGCGACGCAGCATGTCTTCTGCAAAATTGGAGGACTTTGCCTTCGGCTGTGTGTTATCACTGAAAGACTTGATCTTCTTGCACAGGCTGTCGCTGCGAGTGTATGGATCCGAAGGCATCGAGCCACTGAACAGGCCGGAGATGAGACGGATGCAGTCCGGCTGGTTGTGTTCCATGCAGCTCTTCCTGAGATGATGAGGCTCATCCACTTGTCAACATGGGAGTGCGAACTAGCAGACGGCCAGAGCTCTCTGGACCGTGAAATTCCGCCAAGTATCTTCAGGATGCGCTCAGCATCCTGAACGGTTGGTGGACAATTGTCCTGCGTTGGGAACGGCAAACCGTTGGTGGAGCAAACCTTCGCGAGTGGCTCTCGGCTCATGAAATTTGCTGGAAGGCATAAGCGTAAGTAAAAACATCAGGGGCGACTTTTTGCATGGTGATGCGTCGAACACATTCGGTCATGGGTTCACACATATATTCCTGCAGCACCTGTTGCATCACAATACGGCCTGACATGCTCCTTGCTGGTAACCCCTTGCCCCTGTGGAGATTGCTTTCGGGGGTCCTCGCAGTTGCACAGGTCCTTGTACAGCTTTCCAGCAGCGGTTGCGATCTGAAGGAAAGCGGCAGAGTCATCCTCACTCGACAAGGGAACAGACTCATGCATCCAGTAGGTAGTTCCGGAATATGCTCTCACCGGGAGGGCTGGAGAGGTACAGCATGAAGCGTATCCATCAAATCCTCTGCACCGGCTGCCAGTGCCGCGCTCAACAGTCTCATCTGGGTGCGACTGGTTTTCAGCACACAACCAGTCCGGATGATCAACGCAAGAAAAACTACCAAACTTGTGATTTGCCACAAGAAAATGCAAAAAACATGTGGGGGAATCTCGAAGCAATAACAGCGGAATCACCGAACATAAGAATTGATGGCAGCAGTAAACTGCTGTGAGCATTGGGTTTTCCGGTTCAGACACATGTTTGGAGCACCATTCATCTGCATAGGCGTAGTCACCATCCTGACAATCGGTAGCAGTTGGTCACGGGCATCAAATTCAAGGTGGAGTAAGGTCGAAGGCATCACATCGCCGGTCTTCGGCAGGCAGGCCATGAATAGCAGCAGCAAACGACGACGACGGATTCCACATCTATGACTCTATGATTCAATGTTGCCGGTATCGGAAACTACAGCCCCCTATGCTGCACAACTCGCTCTCCTGCTTGCACGTCGGCTCGGTCTCCGTGTCTTGGGACAGTGCTGCCAAAACAACAGCGGTGGCAGCAAAACTCCAAAACTTCGCACCCATGGCTCGTGGACAGGGCAACTGTAGCCGGTAGCTTGTCACCTAGGACTTGAACACACCTGCAAATGCGGCGGGCTGTCGTGAAACATGTGCTGATTCGCTCGGTGACATGGTTTCACGCGCTTGTCTTTTCAGGCACTTCTGGGGCATTTGCCTCCCTCGCTCCGAAACCTCTCCCCGTTCCGAGCCCAGCATTTTTTTCGCTGGCAGCTGACCTCCCGTCGTTACCAGCTCTGATTCCATCAATTGAGTTCTACAGCCTGACCGACACGGCCCGTACGCTGCAACTCACGCACTTGTGCGATCAGTTTGTCTTCGTCCGTGGCACTGGTTGGCGAGGCTGGCGAGGGCGAGTGGTGGATGTGTGCCTAAGTAACCGAACGACTGTCTTCTCTCACATTCATTCCCATTCAGGTTCTCTCTCCGCTTAGCAGAACATGCTTATAGAATCTTACAGTCAAGCTGCCGGCAGGGGTTGCGACCCGAGTGGCCCTCTGTGCAGGGACTGAGCCTGGACCTCCTGGGCCTTCTTTGCCTCGATGGCGGCCTTGACGGAGTCGTGGAGGGAGGCTTTCAGGCTCTGGATCTCCTCAGGGGTTCTGGCCCTGGCCGTTCTGGCCGGGGCCGTGAGGCCGGACAAGGCTGGGTCTCCCATACAGAAGCCCGGAAGCAGCAACAGGAGCGCGATCCACCGCATGGCTAGGAAGAGTTGCGGTCGCGGAGAGTTAAGTACAAGCTTCGAGCCAAAAATCCGCTGTGACCCCAGGCCAGAGGTTTGATGAGCAACTTCGGAACACGTTTCGACTGCTGCAGGCACACTTTTGCCGCACAGTAAGAACTCACAGGTTCAATGTTCCTTGCACGGCCAGTCTTGGCGGTAACATCGGCCCCGCCAGCTGCCACTTGGTGGCAATCCGGTTGGGCTGACTTTCATGTCCAAAATTGCAGCCACATCGCCGCTCACTAGCCGACACAGTATGTGTCCCAGGGCACACGTGGGAAATCATAAACATCTCGGGTGATGCTCCACTGAGTGAGTCCTTCATAAAAGTCTGACACCAGCCCAGGCTTGCGAGCCGCGTGGCCCTGAAAAACCCACTCTTCGCCTTCGCCTCGGTTTGTTTTGGGAAAGCCCCACCTGTCCCATCTGACTGCTTCGACGTCGTCCGTTGAGAACAAGTACAGGCGCTGGCCTTTCTTGCCCTCGAAGGCAAAATTCAGAAGATATCCACGTGGAGGGTCAGGGAACTTTGGAGAAGTCAAGTCGATCAGAGAAGTCGCATTTGGGTTACCACCAAAAACGAGCCACACCCGGTCGCCGGCTGCCATGTTCTTTGACGATGCCGGAAGGGTCTCAAGGCAGCCGTTGCAGATTTCGCCGCTCTCGTTGGTAACGAAAACCGAGAATCTCTGGTTGGGATCCTGGGTTCTTGCCAAGGATTTGTCAGGTTTAGGGCGAACGCCAATGGAATCTATATAGTAACATCCATCTGGTTCCCTTATTTCTGTTTTTAGGGTATCCTAAAACCAAAAAAGGCCCCTTAACCCTCAACCCTAAAGCCAAAAACCCTACAAAAGCTAAGCCCAGGATCTGTCAGATCCCGCAGAGCCGTGAGCTCAACCGCCGCGGAGCCCGGGCCAAGGACCATCAGGGAGAAGATGAGGCCTGGATCGGGGTGCCTTTTGGGGCCTTTTGGGCTTTAGGGCCTTGGGGGCTTGGGACTGTTCAGGGTTCAGGGTTTACAGCTTATTTGTGAGCAAAGGACGCCCCCTGCACGATCTCGGTAGGCTCCTGGATGACCGGGGTTATAGTAGGGCTTAGGAAGACGAGGCCTGGCACGATCTTGGCGGTAGTTGAGAAAGTCTGCGGCAGCGTGCCGTTTGGTGCTGGAGGACAAGCGGGAATTGGTGGAGTCACACAGTAGCTGCCCCAGGGAACGGAGGCCAGATTGCTGGAAACGAAGTACTGTCCAATTCCGTCGGCCCTCCCCCAGTAGACGTCGAGGGCATCATCCGGCAAGAGCCCGGGCCGACGAGATGCAAAGCCTTGCAAACTCCAGACCCAGGCGTCCGTGTATTCGCCGGAAACAAAATCGTAGAGGAGCAAAGAGTCGCCATTGGCGGCATTGAAGTCGAAGTCCACCTGAAAATCGGGCTTCTGCCCTGGGATGAGTTGGAGCGAGTCAGAAGTGCTGAAGGCAATGGTGATGGAAGTACCTTGAGGTATGGTCCTCGGTTCACCCAAGAGAGCAAATTGAAAATTGCCATCAGCGTCAATTTTGACTAGCACTGGGTCGTGGTCTCGGAGCTCGACCATGGCAAAGAGCTCAAGGGCGACCGCGCCAGTCGCGTCTGACACGACGAGAGAGAAGATCAGGCCCGGCACGGTCCAGTCCGGCACTGCAGGGCATGGGATCTCTGGCGCCGGCGTTCCGCAGAAGCTTCGCCAGGGGGCGGCCACCGTGCTGCCGACGCTTCGAGCAAGGCTCCATTGCTGGAAGCCCGGCGCATACGGCTGGGGGGCTTCGGCTTTGCGGGCCGCGAAGCCCTGGTTGGCCTGAAAGAGAGCGGTGTTGTTGGCGTCCACGGGCCGCCAGATTTCCGCGCCGAAGCCCGCGCCCTGGACTTGGAGGATGTCTCGGCCGATGGCGAAGGAGAAAGGAGCCAAGAAGTCGGGCTGAAAGCCGAAGAACTCCTCAAAGGCGGTCCCATTCCCGAAGCCCACCGTGAAGAAGCTCCCCTTCGTGACAGAGTTAAAGCTGAGCTCGAAGGAAGCCCCGAAGTTCTTCACGATTCTCACTGTCTCGTCCTGGAAGTCGCGGAGGGCGTAGAGCTCCACTCCGCTCGGATCGCCGCCGGGCTCCGACACCAGCAAGGAAATGATGAGGTCTCTGGCCACATCTGGAACTGAGGGGCACACTGAAAATCCTGCGCTGCTGGCTGGGGTGGCGCTGTTATCGCTGCCGTTCTGCCATCGGTTTCTGACACCGCGATAGAGCTCGCAGTTGGCCTGCGTGGGCACAAAGAACCGTCCGTAGTAGCTGTTCCCGGGTCTCTCCTGGAACTCCCCGAGATCGGCAAACTCCTGAGCGCAGCTTCCAGGATTTGAACTCATTGCCTCGCACTCCTTGACGAAGAGCGCCTGGCTCCGAGCGATCGGAATCGAATCCAAATCACACGGCCTAAGCAGAGTGTCCGGGTTGTCCACGGCGCATGTGCAAACCCAGAACTCGAACTGCGTCACTTCCTGCTCCGGGGTGCATTTGCCCATCCACTGCAGCGATTCCCCGTCGCTCAGAAAACGGTCGTAGTCAATGGGCACAGGCTGTCCCAAGCAGAAGCCACCGCTGTTTCCGAGGAACTGCAGACCTCGCATCGTGAAATTCGCTGCAACCTCCACTGTGCCATGAACTGACAGGCAGTTTACTGCATGGATGCAGCTGAAGGTATGGCTGTCGGCGAACGCACATAAGACCTTTTGATCAGACAGCGGCTGGAGAACAACATAGCGACCGTCTTCTGTTGGCACTTTGAACTGATCTGTCCTCTGGGCCTCCACATAGTATTCCCGAAATAGTATGTCGTAGGATCCGCCCCCCCGGAAAGAAGAACTCTGTCCCAATCGCGGCTGCGCCCGCGAAACACCGGTCCACTCACAAACGAAGTTGCTCAGCAGTGGCAAGCGAGAAGATGGAGGCTCCGGGCTCTGCAACAAGTCAAGCCCAGGTGCTTCCACCGGATCCACAACGGCTGGCCCAAACATGCTCCGAAACTTATCCCGGAAAAGGCCCACGAGCTGAAAGCCCTGGGCCGTGCATGTGCTCTCTTCCACACCTTGAAAGGTTCCCAGCGCCCAGGCATTGGTCATCTGGTTCACACAGTGAATGCGGTAATTTGGCAGACACAGGCAGACCATGTGCTGCGGTTGCGTGGGTAGCCCTTCGTCGAGATCCCCAGTGGTGATGATCGCCAAAATCCTCCCATTGGCTGCTTCAGTCCCATCCTCGTGGAACTGGCGAATCTCGTGAACGCCGGAAATGTTTTTCGAGCCCGCAAACACGTCTTCGAGCCCGCCTTGAAACCGGACGAAGCTGGGAAGCGTTGGACACTCGCAGTCGGCCTGCAAGGACTGTGAAGGAAGCAAACTTTAGGGACGGTTTAGGTTTAGGGCTTAGGGATGGCTTAGGGCTTTGCTGTTAGTATCAGGGTCTTGGACGTCTCCATCTGCTCAGGCAAGCTGCTGCGACAGCAGAGGTGGTCACGGTCGTCGATGATGGCACTGTGCTCGAATCGGGAGAAGCTGCAGTAGTAGCTGCAGGGCTGGTCGAGGTACGAACGTTGCCATCAGAGGTGGTCACGGTCGTCGATGATGGCACTGTGCTGGATTCGGGAGAAGCTGCAGTAGTAGCTGCAGGGCTGGTCGAGGTACGAACGTTGCCATAGTTGCTATACCTGCCATAGCCACGGTAGTTGCCATAGTTTCTTCTCCAGTTGGGCCGACCCCAGTCCTTGGGCACCGATTGGTATCGCACAGCTGCGAACATCTACAGCAACACTCTTGCCGAAACTCATCTCTGACGAAAGCCTGTTGCATCGGATCTCGAATGTGGCAAAGAGCCAACGGTAACTTGCTTCCTTAACACTCTGAGATCCGGGCCTCTCCGGCCACGTGCTCCTGCAAACATCAGCTCTGTCGTCGTCTTTAAGGCCCTTCTTGCTTGCGAGGCCTCTCTTTAAAGGGTCCCTGCTGTGACTATTCAGTCCTCAACTGTGGCATCGGCAGAGGATGTCCAGCTTGCACCTGGCCACTCCAGAACATGCCGCATGAACGCCTCGGAAGCAGGTCTGGCCTTGGAGAAGGTCCGACACTGCATTCTCATCATAGGCAAACTCCGGCCCCGGTTCCTGCACCATCTCAAGCTCCAAGTAGTCAACCCGCACCGGCTTTACCAGACCAATCTCAACATCAAAGTTGTCCGTGGATATTCCCGCCCATCCCTGCAGGCCGACGGGAGTGCATCCACCGGCAAACCGAAGCTTGAGTCGAAGTGTATCCTGGAACACAAGCACATCGGTGCATTCGAGCTCTGACGGATTGGTCTCTGAAAGGAAGACACAGGCATAACCCCGGTTGAGTCCAAAAACGTCAATCGTATCTGGGTTCTTGTCCCAGAGATTTGGCCGGAGGATTTGGTAGATGTAAACCACACGGCCGTCCTCCTGAAACTCCATGCGACCATTGGGCAAGATCTTGTCGGTAGATCTCTGCGTGAACACATACCACAGTGCGCCGAACCGATCAATCGTCACATTCCTGTTTCCTGTGAAATTGACTGTTTGAGGAGTCTTGTCCTCACGCTCGATAGACGCACGGACCTGTGTTCCTTGGAACCATGTTCCAGAGAGCTTCGGGAAGCCCTCACACTGGCTGGCACCGAACGCCAGCTCCGTGGATAAAACCACAGCGGGGAGCAGGCGTGCCCAAGACATGGCGATGGCGAGCATCTTCTGCTACAAAATGCGCAAAAACTGGTAGTAAATGACTGCGAAGCACTCTGCAAGGATCGTTTTGTAGCTCACAGCACTGACTGGCAAAGGGCCTCGGCTTGAAGCAGTTGCCTTTTGCCTCGCAGGGTATCTTTTGAAACCTCGGTGCAGCGCTGAAGGGCACCCGACACTCTGCATGCTCTTGCTTGCCGAAGGCATGCAACACCTGCACACTCAAAATCGGGGCAAGGGACGATAAGGGACGGCGACATGAAGTACGGCTAGTTCCACGCTGTGGCTGTCTTAGGTCACTTCAGCGACCCCCGCGTAAAAGGAAACCCTGGCCGAGATGTGCTTTAGACACAAACGTGCAATTGACATCACTTGACCAGCTCACCCGGCTCCGAACCCGGAAGAACGCTGCGCTGAGGAAGCCAAGCCCGTTCGCCTCGTGCTTTGAGCTTATGCGCAGCCAAACTTGGCTCAAAGAACTAAGGCTCTTAATCTAAGCCTTCTTTGAAACAGTCGCAATACACCTAGAGATGTGGAACAGGAGTGACCTTCGTGTTCTACTGGGGTAAATTCTGTTTTAGCGATGGTGTCCTGCGTGCCAGACGTTGTGACGACAACGATGCTCAGAGTTGTGGCAGCACTGCTTTTCGCTATGGCTGATCTCTACTTGACAAGAGACTGGTCAAAGTTCAAAGGGCCTCAAGCCGGTGTCCTGGCGCACGAGCAGCGAAGCCGCGTCTAGCTCCACCTTCAGAGCAGGAGGGCATGAGTGACTTGAAGTGCTCTGGCAAGCGAATGTTCGTGGACTTGGCGGCAAGCTACGAGGTCAAGGGGCTGCATTCAAAGTGGTTGAACCGCAAGCCTGAGTCACTGAGACATATGAAAGGCACAGATGGCCATCTCCCTGCCTCTACGGTGGTGTGTCTGATTATGATATGCGCTGTAATTTGTGCGTCAGACCGCCCCTGCTGGGCCATACATTCAGACTCATCAAGTGCATATAGGTGCTCACCGTCGCATCCTTAGTGATATGGAGGCTCGAAGGCAGCCAAGGGTTCCCACTACCGCTCAAGAAGAATTCGTTGAATTCGCTGATCCGCAGCAGCCAAAACCTTGATGACTTAACGGCTCAGCCCAAGCTTCCGAAGGGGGGGCGACCTGAACCAAGACAGCCTAGCCGGGACCCGATGCGCAAGACTGTCGGTGCAAAAAAGCGCAGACAAAAAAGAGTCTTGTACATGGCTTGAGGCAGGAAAACAGCTGTCCGAGCCTCCCAGGCGACGAGGGCCCTGCAAGCTGCAAGCGCAGCGACTTTGCTTTGGCACCTGGAAACTCACTGGTAAAACCGCGTCCCTTGGGGCACACGTGGACTCAAGGCATTTCAGTTCGGCTCAGTTTCCTTATCGTGACGTGACGGCGATGGGCCCGCTGATCAAGATGCTGTACGCACACGTTTGCTACACTGGTTGTTGTTTCGGTGCGAGGCAGAGGCCGCACGAGCCAAATCTAAAGGAGGTCTGCTGTACACACTTCTATGGCACCGGGATCGCCGCTTTTGGCGGGCTGAAGGCTATTCTTCGCCGGAGAGCCGGGGGGCTGGCGGCCGGTTCCGCGGTACCTTGTGGAGCAGGTGGCATTGTGGACCCCGGTTCTTGAATTTTTCCAGGCAGCCAGCCGGACCTATCCTGCAAATTCGGGCCTTTTCCGCCGGTGTTGGAAACATGTGGCTCTATCTCATGTCATGCCGCAGATCGAACTAACTAATTGTTGCACGTGTCATTCCCGAGACGTTGCTGACACTTGCGACGCTGAGACTATGAGAACAAGCACGGACACGTCCTAAAACTAGAAAAGATTGGTTTCACACCAACCAGAACCGTGCACATCTGGTTTTTGCCTGCGCAGTCTTCTTGCCAACGCTTACTGTGGCGAGCATTGACAGCAGCGGTCCCGGCTCACGGCGTTCAAAACACGACGGAATCAAGCCGCGTGAAGATTGCATGCAGGTCTGCCACACTCGAAAGAGAGACAGGAGACCGGCGCCGACACGTGGTTGCCTGCGGAACTTGCTCGTCGAAGATGTTGCGCACCCGCGGATCTGCGTGACGGTAGCTCGCTGTTTCCAATTTCTTCCGGTGGCGCGTCGTCTTGCATCTATGCCAGCATCCTCTTAAGCTCAGCCGAAGGTGATGGGATAATGGCTGCAAAAACCGCATTACGAGGCAGATTGGCTAAGAGGAACTAGGACTGCCTATGCACAGCGTCGATAGAAAAGTCTGACCTTTCGTTTTCAGGATAGAGGTAGTAACGACTCAGTAGAAAACATCAAGGCCACACTGCCACCCATGCACGTGCTCTCGCAAGGACCGCGCCGCAAGTCATCCAAAGAACTTGCCATTGCTTCAGGCCCCCTATGCCAACAGGTGCCTGCATTTTGGTCCCCGAAGATGTTGTCCAGCAAGCCGCGCTTAAGCACCAGCCTTAGTTCGGTCTTCCAAACCTTCTTCTGCTCCTTCCCGTGACTGTCGACACCATCTTCTAGCAGGTGCACTGGAGAGTCGCTGTGTAAGCTGCTGGCTCGACAGGAGCTGCTGCCCTAAGGTTTGTGGGCTGGTCGAAGAGAACTTGATCCTGCACGGTACCCGAAGTGTTTGGCGGTACCGAACAACCGTAAAGAACCCAGTGGCTTCAATGGCTGCGAAGAAGGGAGAGCATAGATTCCCACGGGGTGAAACCTCAACTGTGGTTCCACCGAAGTCAGCTGGCTGGCCTTAGAACTGCTTCCACATCTTGTGCATCTTTCCTGAGGGAGCAGTAAGGCTGCACCAGCGAAGTTAAGCAGTTCAGCACCCAAACCTGAGGTTCATGCATGACTCACTTGGCCACTGTAACGGGTCAGGACATATCAGGACCTTTGTCTGTCAGTCAACACGTCAAACTGAACTTGGTTGAAGTGCACCTCCTTCGGAGAATCCCCTTCGCTGAGAGTGGTATCTCCCGCGTCAAATCTTCTCATCTCAACCTCACAAAATGGTATCGGCCTAATCCTCAGGATGTACAAGCACCCGTCGGCACGTAGTCCGTCACACCAGACTTCCACACTGCCACTGTTGAGGCATGTCCGGCCTCTAAATGCTACTGCATCATCGGCTGTCGTGTCGCCTCCATCACCACAGTTTGGCCTAGTTGTAAGTTGACATGACCTTTGTAGGACAAGCCTGCACAATGCGGCAACAAGAGCAAACCATGATCGGCCAGCCTGCTTTTTCATTGGGACAGAATCATGATCGGACAGGCGTGGGCACAGGTATCGGAAGTCTGCCTGCGGAATGGGGCGGCACATCTCAGCATGTTTGATCACTCAAGCCCACGTCCACCACTTTGCTCCGCAGCGAGTGTTCTGAAAGCATGTCGTTTCTGAGGGTTCGGGAAATCATCCAAACAAACGAACATCTCCATCACACCTTCGGAGGAAGCTCGGCAACTCACCCGAGGGACGAAGTGAATAGGTTTGTTATTTCATTTTGGTCACACACTCTCAGGACGACTTTCGATCATCCAACAGCTTGAAAAACTTGGAAGTCACGAGTTTGGGACGAGCTCAAAAATGTACAGCTCCTATATGTCTTTGAACGAAATATCGTCCGTGGTCGCCCGATCCTGCCGCCTCAGGCCACTTCGGGGTTGGGAATGCCTCGCCCCGTTCCCCTGAAACCATTCAACTTATATACAACCTGGGTGAAAACCCGTCCCGGGTGATGGCACGCCATCAACTACATGAATGTCACAGGCGCCTGCTGCCTGATCATGCAGGCTCTGAAGTTCGTACCCATTGGAGCCTGACCTACAGGCTTCTAGTTGTGCTTCGGCCCCGACCGTACCTAAAGCAGCTGCATGGCATGCCGAACTTGGTGCCCGGCAATGTCTCACAAGGATTGGATTTCAAGACCTGTGCAACGAAGCAAGTGGTCGGACTGTCCACACAGACCACGAAGTATGACTGGCCTCCTTTGTCTCCTCAACGACTTAACGGCGCATTTGCTCTTGTTGCTTGCCGGGCAACTCCGGCACCTGAATTGCAGCAACACGTCTTGCCACATGGTATCCTGCAGACCCGATCTTTCTGTACTTAGCTACGAATACAATCAGTAGCGCGACAGCTTAGCAGTACAATTACTGCATCTGCCGCTACTCTGTTTGTACAGTGGAAACAAGATGAGCTGGCCAGGCATACTACAAGAAGGTTACAGCTTGCACTAGGTGAGCCGACGTACGTGTTCGGACAATTGAACGTGCTAAGCGACGGCAATGGCCTGCTAGTTTGGGCATTTCCATCCTCGCGAGCGAGATCTAGGTGTGAAAAGAAGCAGAATCAGGATGTAGGCAACATGCCGTTGTCCTGGATGCAACTGCCTCTGCCTTGTATCGAGTTGCGACTCTGGGCGGTTCATTCCGAGGCTGGCACATCCCCATGCACACACCGAAGCCTTCCGTTCCCCGCAAGAGCAGAGCAGGAACACGCTCTCACCACAAGACGTCCGCGGCCTGTGTTGAGAATTGCAGACTGGTGGCACTCCAACGAGGGTCGGAGCTGGGGATCCTGGAATCGAGGACCTGGAGAGCTGGGGCAGGTTGACAAGCCGTTTGCTGACGGGGGTGGCAAAAGGGCCAGGAGGATAGAAGGGTCCCGGTGTCCATCCCTGTGAAGCGAAGCCGGCTGAGGAGAAGGCGAACATGCCCCACGCAAGCCTGAATTGCAGTCAACAGAACCGGAGGTGCATCTAGATGTATGGCGAAAGGATACAGCAAGTACGGGAAGCCCTTGAGTATCTAGGTGAGCAACTTCGCTGCAACGACCTAACCTCTTATCGTTTGAGGACCGGTCATGTCGGCTCACAATCTAGAGCATGAGGTCCAAAGAACGTGCTTCCTCCGAGTCTCCTCGAGGAAGCAGCTGCTACTGCAAAGGAGCTTGCAAAGGAGCAGCCGGGGCAGACGCGGGAACTGTACAACGCCCTATTTGAGCTGTACTTAAAGGAGAGTGGAGCCTGTGTACCTTGCTCCTGTCTGTGAGGCGCAACCACAAGGTCAGCTCTTCCGAAATTTGGCAATGGTTCATGGGAGATGGCCTCGTAAAGACTTTGGGCTCGGAGGATTTAGCAGATGAGCTCATCGCAAGGCACAAGTAAGCAGAGAGCAAACCGGATTGCCAAGGACGCTGGATCCGGAGTATACTATGACCTATGACTGAAGCCCTGCTGCGCACCCTGCTCAAACCCGCTCCCTCATGAGGCGATGGTGTCTGATCCAAACCTGATCCCTCATCAGGCCGGCGATCGAGGTTGATGCCACTTCTTAAACCTGCTCGCTGCCGACTATCTTCGCCTTGTTCGCTCGCTCGCTCGCTTACTTGCTGGCCTGCTGGCGTTCTTGCTCGCTTTCTTGCTTGCTTGCTCAGAAGCCCGAAACGAATATAAAAGCAGAGAAGCACCACGATAAGATAACAGAAACAAAAAATCACATCATCACCTGAAGCAGTCTGCAGAACCGAGAACGAGGTTCTGCTGCGTAACCCTCACTGACGCTGAGATCGCTGCACTTGCACGTCATGCCATGGCATCGCATGTCTGCGTCAGGCTTGGATGACCTTTGGCACTCTGGAGACATCTCTTTCGAGCTGTGCGGCTTTAGGGATTTGCGGTTGGGTCCTCCCCTCCTCACCGATTCCCCCCCGCAACTGGTGCACGGTGCTTGTGATATAAGTCACGGTCCCTGCCTGTCCAGTGCACCTATCTGGTGTCTGACCCGGAGTCCCACTTGAATGCTACACTGCTACACTTCCACGCACCACATCATGCTAGCACCCATTTACATATATGTCCAAAGCTTCATGCCCAAACCCTCCAACCACAGGCCTTGGACAAAAACCTCGAAAGACACCGATCTGTCGACGGCCCTCAGCGCTGTCCAGGCGCTTTGAGAGTCTTTGAACCGAAGCCAATGACCTTCCGAACCTGCGAAGCTTGAGGGAGTGCGTCGCGATCCAAAAGGCTAGAGTCAAGTCTCGCCTCTGCTGGACTTGCGAAGCTGAAAGAGCATCTTGGGCCTCGCAGTCGACGCTGGACATCAGGGAGTACTTGAGGTCTTCATGGTTGCACTCAAATCATGCTACAAAGGAGCTTATGGCTTATGCATGCAAATTTCATTGACCCAAGATCTCTGCAAGTATGCATCATGCCGTGGAATAGGATGTTTGCGCAAAGCTGCAAAGACTCTTTGTTCCATCGCGGCAGGTCTTTGCAAGTCCCAAACCAAGCAGCACTTCTCCATGGCTACGTAAGCGCAGAAGGACCAATCCAAATACCAGGGGCCGTAGACTGCATGGTTGGGAAACTTGTGGTGCTCCTTGTGATAGGCCTCACCTCCTGCACAAGAAAGTGCCTTGTCTGTCTGCCTCTTTTCACTGCCCGGCTGCCTCCTAAACTCCGAAATCCAGTTTCTCGAGTCTAATCGTCAAGAGATCTTCGAGTGTTTACGGGTTACTGCCCAGGGTTTGGGTGAAGGGTGCTATGCTACTCTGTATAGCCAGGTCGGCAGATGCATCCGTGGCGGCGTTTGCATGTTTTCACCTACAGCAACATTAGTGTCCTGCAAGCCGCTGGATGTAACCCATAATTTGTACAAACTTCCGAAGCTCCAAAAGCACGTCTCAGCTGAGACACGGGGCGGTTTCACAGACCACGACCTCGAACTAGCATCGCCGTTCACAAAACGTTCGATGCTGATTGTCGCTCTACCTAGTAGCTGCCACTACTACCGACCGGATCTAGACTGCGAGTGCCTTCGTTTCATGGTCGAGACTTGGATCAAAGAGTCGTGCCTCCAATCAGCACGAAGCCGGGCATATCCTTCCCTTTGCATGTGTTGGCACGAGAGCATCTGTCAGTGTCCGGGACGCCCCATCCAATCTCGTGCGAGAAGCCATTGAATGCACTTACCAAGTTAATAGCGAGGGCTTCTCCCAGGTCAGCAGCCATGGTCATGGGATGGACATCCAAAGGGAAAGGTTGCAACCACACGGGGCTGAGCGCATACACAAGTCTGTGGAGAAGCTTGCGGCGCAACAAAGCTTTTACGTACCCGCCGTACAACTCAAGCAGCAGCAGCTCGGGATTCTTCAACAACCAGTCTCGCACGAAAGCTGGCCGAATCTCGAGGTTGTCTCTGTCTGCATAACAGAAGACATAGGCGTAGAAAAAGCCCTTCTGGTATGGCGAGTGTGGATCGCCTTCTTGATCACAGAACCTGTGGTGCCGTCGATGCAGGGCTGAGTAGTGCAGAGGCCTCATCCCACTCGCCATGCAAGAGAAGGCTCCCAACAGAAAGCTGCAAAGGCGGGATGTCTGAAAACATCTGTGGGAAAAGTATCGGTGAAGCACGTTCGCTGCAAACACTGCCATCCAGAAGAAGATCATGAAAACCAGCGCACACAACGGAATTTCGATTGAGACAATACCCCACCACTCCGCGTCTTCCAGCTGTGGCTTGAAGTGTTCCGAACGATGCACAAAGTGTGCCCAGAGTTGGCAACCGACCTCTGACATCCCTAAAGCTACACGTCGAGCAACACCTTCCACGCCGTGACAAATTTTCGTCCGAGGGACGGCTTAACAACTGAGGCCTGAACAGCGAAAGGCACGTGAAACATAAATCCAGACACGGTCCCGAAGGGTCCATACCTCACGTAGTCCTGGAGCAAACAGACTTTCAAGATGGCCTCCACGCAAAGCTCACGCCCCGTGACGGGAGAGAGATACAGGACTTTCACTGTCGCGAGAATGCCAAAGGCGTCCTTGCCCAAGCCATGAAGCTCTTTTGTCAGACCTGCCAATCCTCCTCCTGCGTAGCGCGCAATCAAGACTAGGCAGAATCCCCCTGCATATCGCCCTGTGATCTCGTATGGCCATGTAGACCAGCGCAGCTTGTCCAAACTAGGCCAGTGCTGGTATAGGAGAACCAAATAGACGAGAGCACGCACAGCTCCGGCCGGATGCCAACAAGTCGCCATGCTGCGGCTAAGATACTAACCGAGCCGAGAACCGGCACGACGCAAAGCGTTGATCCAAATCTCTCTCCTCAGAGGGTGCTTTGTCGTATATGGATGTGCTTCTGGTTCACATGCGGAACACTGTTTTGACAGGTCGGTGGCTGCACGCAGACACACTTTTTGAAAAGAGCACAGGGACCCAGGCGTTCACTGCGCAAGCTACCAGCAAGCCATGCGCTGGCAAACATGTATTCAAATAAACTTCAGTGCCAATTCCAACGTTCCCCCAAAAAAATATTGCTTTCGCGCCTACTGTATCAGAACTTTCGAGGAGCCCACGCATGTATGTGCATGACATGCTTCTATGTTCATAATTACGATGTATTATATAGGTTATGCATCCCCGGGCCGACGGGTTTCGAGCTACATGTGTATTATCGAACATACACGCTCTTGCGGAGTAGCGGAGTACCTCAAAGTGTCGTTTACCCTACCCTACGCAGGGTAGCGGAGTAATTTCCACCCCGTCTTGAAAATATAGTAAACTTTAGTTCCGGAGGAGGCTAACATGCGTTCGGAGGCTACAGGGAAGAGGGTGGGGGGGGCTGGGTACTGTACATGTTCAAGCTAATGGGCCGAACTATCGGTCCGGCGCAGTGTGCTATATGCTGTATGTTATAATTGTTATATGTTGCATACTATATAAGGTATGTTAAATATTGCACGGTACATATTGCATTACTTACAATATGCCTCACTATGCAGTACATACACAATCCTCGAAGCATGTCATACAGTACAAGATGCGTTGAAAGCAGCAGAACCCCCGAAGAATCCGCCAAGCTTCAAACTGGAGCATGGAATGTGATGGAGCAAGAGCAATTGAAAAAAAGTGAACGGACACAAACGAGGCCGCGGTGTTTTCCTCTCCGATGCACGGTCTTCCTCACAGAACCCGAAGTGCGAGGGGAGAGAGCAGTTGGTGGAGGAGAGAAGGAAGCAAGGGAAGGAAACGGTGCACAAGGGGAGAGGGCGAGCAGATCGACCACGGTGGAGAAGAAGGGCGCGCTTTTTCGTCAGCCATGCGTCTGATTGGCAGGAGCCTTAACGAAGGGACATCACAACTGATAGGTTTGCCCAATTTTGCCCACCAGCTGATTTCAACAGGGATGTGCACACTCAGCCACTCAGCGGTCTGCGCACTTTGGAAAGATTGGCATCAGCGAAATTCATGGCATGGCTTTTCCGACTGCAACCTTGTTCACTTCTGTAAGGGATGCTGCATGAGGATGTAGAGAGCGACGCAGCATGTCTTCTGCAAAATTGGAGGACTTTGCCTTCGGCTGTGTGTTATCACTGAAAGACTTGATCTTCTTGCACAGGCTGTCGCTGCGAGTGTATGGATCCGAAGGCATCGAGCCACTGAACAGGCCGGAGATGAGACGCAGGCAGTCCGGCTGGTCGTGTTCCATGCAGCTCTTCCTGAGATGATGAAGCTCATCCACATGTCAAGATGGGAATGCGAACTAGCAGACGGCCAGAGTTCTCTGGACCGTGAAATTCCGCCAAGTATCTTCAGGATGCGCTCAGCATCCTGAACGGTTGGTGGACAATTGTCCTGCGTTGGGAACGGCAAACCGTTGGTGGAGCAAACCTTCGCGAGTGGCTCTCGGCTCATGAAATTTGCTGGAAGGCATAAGCGTAACTAAAAACATCAGGGGCGACTTTTTGCATGGTGATGCGTCGAACACATTCGGTCATGGGTTCACACATATATTACTGCAGCACCTGCTGCATCACAATACGGCCTGACATGTGCCTTGCTGGTAACCCCTTGCCCCTGTGGAGATTGCTTTCGGGGGTCCTCGCAGTTGCACAGGTCCTTGTACAGCTTCCAAGCAGCGGTTGCGATCTGAAGGAAAGCGGCAGAGTATGGCAAAGTCATCCTCACTCGACAAGGGAACAGACTCATGCATCCAGTAGGTAGTTCCGGAATATGCTCTCACCGGGAGGGCTGGAGAGGTACAGCATGAAGTGCATCCATCAAATACTCTGCACCGGCTGCCAGTGCCGCGCTCAACAGTCTCATCTGGGTGCGACTGGTCTTCAGCACACAACCAGTCCGGATGATCAACGCAAGAAAAACTACCAAAGTTGTGATTTGCCGCAAGAAAATGCAAGAAACATGTGGGGGAATCTTGAAGCAATAACAGCGGAATCACCGAACATAAGAATTGATGGCAGCAGTAAACTGCTGTGAGCTTTGGGTTTTCCGGTTCAGACACATGTTTGGAGCACCAGTCATCTGCATAGGCGTAGTCACCATCCTGACAATCGGTAGCAGTTGGTCACGGGCATCAAATTCAAGGTGGAGTAAGGTCGAAGGCATCACATCGCCGGTCTTCAGCAGGCAGGCCATGAATAGCGGCAGCAAAACGACGACGACGGATTCCACATCTATGACTCTATGATTCAATGTTGCCGGTGTCGGAAACTACAGCCCCCATGCTGCACAACTCGCTCTCCTGCTTGCACGTCGGCTCGGTCTCCGTGGGACAGTGCTGCCAAGACAACAGCAGTGGCAGCAAAACTCCAAAACTTCGCACCCATGGCTCGTGGACAGGGCAACTGTAGCTGGTAGCTTGTCACCTACGACTTGAACACACCTGCAAATGCGGCGGGCTGCCGTGAAGTATGTGCTGATTCGCTCGTTGACATGTTGTCACGTGCTTGTCATTTCAGGCACTTCTGGCGCTCCGAAACCTCTCCCCGTTCTGAGCCCAGCATTTTTTTCGCTGGCAGCTGACCTCCCGTCGTTACCAGCGCTGATTCCATCAATTGAGCTCTACAGCCTGACCGACACGGCCCGTACGCTGCAACTCACGCACTTGTGCGATCAGTTTGTCTTCGTCCGTGGCACTGGTTGGCGAGGCTGGCGAGGGCGAGTCGCGGTTGTGTGCCTAAGTAATCGAACGACTGTCTTCTCTCCCATTCATTCCCATTCAGATTCTCTCTCCGCTTAGCAGAACATGCTGATAGAATCTTACAGTCAAGCTGCCGGCAGGGGTTGCGACCCGAGTGGCCCTCTGTGCAGGGACTGAGCCTGGACCTCCTGGGCCTTCTTTGCCTCGATGGCGGCCTTGACGGAGTCGTGGAGGGAGGCTTTCAGGCTCTGGATCTCCTCAGGGGTTCTGGTCGGGGCCGTTCTGGCCGGGGCCGTGATGCCGGACAAGGCTGGGTCTCCCATGGAGCCCGGAAGCAGCAACAGGAGCGCGATCCACCGCATGGCTAGGAAGAGTTGCGGTCGCGGAGAGTTGCAGCTTTGAGCCGAAAACCCGCTGGGACAAACCCACGCCAGAGTTTTGATCAAGCACCACCTCAACATGAAACACGTTTCGAGTGCTGCCTCAGCGATAGACGCGCAGCAGCATCCTGGGAGGCCTGATAGGAAGCTGAGTGTTGAATCTCCGACATCAGGCATGTTCTGTCGGAAGCCGCACCCTAAACTCAAAACACTCCTTGCAGGTCCGGTCTTGGCACTAACATAGGCTCCACCAGCTGCCACTTGGCGGCAATCCGGTGTCGACTGACCTTTCGTACATGTCCAAAACTGCAGACGCATCTGCACTCATTAGCCGACACCGTATGTGTCCCAGGGCACACGTGCGAAATCATACACATCCCGGGTGATGCTCCACTGAGTAAGTCCTTCATACAAGTCTGACACAAGCCCAGGCTTGCGGGCCGCGTGGCCCTGACAAACCCACTCTTCACCCCTCGGATTGTTTTGGGAGCGCGCCACCTGTCCCAAATGACGGTTTCGTAGAACAGGTACAGCTCCTCGCCTCTCTTGCCCTGGAACGTCAAGTTCAGAAGATGCGGAGGGAACTTTGGAGATCCCAAGTCGATAAGAGAAGTGGGATTCGGGTTCTGAGCAAAGACGATCCACACCCTGTCGCCCGCTGTCATGGGTCTTAAATCTGCCGGAAAGGTCTCAACGCAGGTGTTGCAGACTACGCCGTCGTTGGCAACGACAACGAAGAGCGGGCGGCTTGGATCCTGGGCTTTGTTAAGGAATTTGGTTTACGTTACCTTAACGGGATCTATATAGTCACTATAGTCATAACATACATGTTGATGGTGTCCTGTTTCAACCTATATTATGATGGTACGAGTAGAAGAATCCTTGATGAAAGCACCCGGAGAGCAGCTGGCAGATCCCGCAGAGCCGTGAGCTCCACCGCGGCGAAGCCCGGGCCGAAGACCACCAGGGAGAAGATGAGGCCTGGGGCCCATTGGGGCCCAGGGCCGGGGCGCATCGGGGTTTAATCGGGAGCATCTTACAAAGTTACGGGATGTTACCCGGGCTGTTCGCAGGTGCGTTGCAGGGTTGATTTTAGGCCTGGCACGGGCACGTTCTCGTTGGCCCTGAAGAAAAACTTCAGCAGCTCGCCGCTTGGTGCCGGGGGACAAGCGGAAATAGGTGGAGTCACGCAGTAGGCGCCCCAGGGAACGGAGGCCAAACTGCTGGAAACAAAATACTGTCCACTGCCGTCGGCAGTCCCGAGTAAGACTGCGGCTGCACTAAGCGGCAAGAGTCCGGGCCGGCGCGATGCAAAGCCTTGGAAACTCCAGACCCAGGCGTCCGTGTATTCGCCGGAAACAAAATCGAGGAGGAGCAAAGAGTCGCCAATGCCAATCGCGGGATTGAAGTCGAAGTCCACCTGAAAATCGGGCTTCAGCCCTGGGATGAGTTGGAGCGAGTCAGAAGTGTTGAAGGCAACGGTGATGGAAGTGCCTTGAGGTATGCTCCTCGTGGCTCCCAAAAAACCAGTCGAAATGATTGACCCCGCAGGGTTTGTCACCAAGACTGCGGGCCTGTAATTGCGGAGCTCGACCATGGCAAAGAGCTCAAGGGCGACCGCGCCAGTCGCGTCTGACACGACGAGAGAGAAGATCAGGCCCGGCACGGTCCCGTCGGGCACTGCAGGGCATGGGATCTCTGGCGCCGGCGTTCCGCAGAAGCTTCGCCAGGGGGCGGCCACCGTGCTGCCGACGCTTCGAGCAAGGCTCCATTGCTGGAAGCCCGGCGCATACGGCTGGGGGGCTTCGGCTTTGCGGGCCGCGAAGCCCTGGTTGGCCTGAAAGAGAGCGGTGTTGTTGGCGTCCACGGGCCGCCAGATTTCCGCGCCGAAGCCCGCGCCCTGGACTTGGAGGATGTCTCGGCCGATGGCGAAGGAGAAAGGAGCCAAGAAGTCGGGCTGAAAGCCGAAGAACTCCTCAAAGGCGGTCCCATTCCCGAAGCCCACCGTGAAGAAGCTCCCCTTCGTGACAGAGTTAAAGCTGAGCTCGAAGGAAGCCCCGAAGTTCTTCACGATTCTCACTGTCTCGTCCTGGAAGTCGCGGAGGGCGTAGAGCTCCACTCCGCTCGGATCGCCGCCGGGCTCCGACACCAGCAAGGAAATGATGAGGTCTCTGGCCACATCTGGAACTGAGGGGCACACTGAAAATCCTGCGCTGCTGGCTGGGGTGGCGCTGTTATCGCTGCCGTTCTGCCATCGGTTTCTGACACCGCGATAGAGCTCGCAGTTGGCCTGCGTGGGCACAAAGAACCGTCCGTAGTAGCTGTTCCCGGGTCTCTCCTGGAACTCCCCGAGATCGGCAAACTCCTGAGCGCAGCTTCCAGGATTTGAACTCATTGCCTCGCACTCCTTGACGAAGAGCGCCTGGCTCCGAGCGATCGGAATCGAATCCAAATCACAGGGCCTCAGCAGCGTGTCCGGGTTGTCCACGGCGCATGTGCAAACCCAGAACTCGAACTGCGTCACTTCCTGCTCCGGGATGCATGTTCCCATCCACTGCAGCGATTCCCCGTCGCTCAGAAAACGGTCGTAGTCAATTGGCACAGGCTGTCCCAAGCAGTAGCCACCGCTGTTCCCGAAAAACTGAAGAGCTTGCACTGTGGCATCCCCGTCAATCTCAACTGTGCCATGGACTGACAGGCAGTTTACCGAATGGATGCAGCTGAAGGTATGGTTGTCGGCGAACGCACAAGGCCTGCTGATCAGACAACGGCTGCAGAACAACATTGCGACCGTCTTCTGCTGGCCTTCTGAGCTCGTTCGACCTGTTGGCCACCACATAGTACTCCCGAAAGAGAATGTCGTAAGATCCGCTGCTATGGAAAGAAGAACTCTGTCCCGGTCGTGGCTGCGCCCGCGAAAAGCCGCTCCAATCACAAACCAAGTTGGGTAGCCGAGGAAAGCTGGGCGAGCTAGCAGATGGAGGCTCCAGGTTCTGCAACAAGTCAAGCCCAGGTGCTTCCGCCGGATCCACAACGGCCGGCCCAAACATGGTCCGAAACGTATCCCGGAAAAGGCCCACGAGCTGAAAGCCCTGGGGTGCATGTGCTCTCTTCCACACCTTGAAAGGTTCCCAGCGTCCACGCATTGGTCATCTGATTCACACAGTGAATGCGGTAATTTGGCAGACACAGGCAGACCATGTGCTGCGGTTGCGTGCGTAGCCTTTCGTCGAGATCCCCAGTGGTGATGATCGCCAAAATCCTCCCATTGGCTGCTTCAGTCCCATCCTCGTGGAACTGGCGAATCTCGTGAACGCCGGAAATGTTCAGGGAGCCCACAAACACGTCTTCCAGCCCGCCTTGAAACCGGACGAAGCTGGGAAGTGTTGGACACTCGCAGTCGGCCTGCAAGGACCGTGAAGGAAGCAAACTTTAGGGACGGTTTAGGTTTAGGGCGTTTAGGGCTTAGGGATGGCTTAGGGCCTTGCTGTTAGTATCAGGGTCTTGGACGTCTCCATCTGCTCAGGCAAGCTGCTGCGACAGCAGAGGTGGTCACGGTCGATGATGGCACTGTGCTCGAATCGGGAGAAGCTGTAGTAGTAGCTGCAGGGCTGGTCGAGGTACCAACGTTGCCATGGTTGCCATACCTGCCATACCTGCCATAGCCGCGGTAGTTGCCATAGCTTCTTCTCCAGCGGGGCCGACCCCAGTCCTTGGGCACCAAAGCAGAAATCCACACAAGCACCCTGGCATCCCTGGCCGAAACTCCTCTCTCACGAAAGCTTCTTGAATCGGATCTCGATGTGGGAAAGAGCCAATGGTAACTTGCTTCCTTACGAGTCTGTCTGAGATCCGGGCTGCTGCGGCAATGTGCTCCTGCACACATCAGGTCCGGTTTTAAGGCCTTCTTGCGGTGCGACACTGCTCTATTCAAGGTCTCTGACGTGGCACTACATATTCTCGCCGAAGAAGAAAAGTCGCGCAGCAGTCCTCAAGTGAGGATGTCCAGCTTTCGCCTGACAGCTCCGGAACAGCATGCGGCATGAGCGTTTCGGAAGCATGTCCGGCCTTGGAGAAAGGACTCATCATAGGCAAACTCCGGACCGGGTTCCTCCACCATCTCAAGCTCGGAATAGTCAACTTGCGCCGTTTTTGTCAGATCAACAACCTCACCAATTTCAAAGTTGGCCGTGGATATTCCTGCCCATACTTGCAGGCCGATAGGAGTGCATCCATCGGGTGCAAGCCGAAGCTTGATCCGTAAGGTATTTCTGAACACAACACACATCAGTGCATTCGAGCTCTGATGGATTGGTCTCCGAAAGAAAGACACAGGCATAACCTCTGTTGAGTCCAAAAACGTCGATGGTATCTGGGTTCTTGTCCCAGAGATTTGGCCGCAGGATGTGGTACATGTAGACTACACGACCGTCTTCCTTAAACTCCATGCGACCATTGGGCAAGATCTTCTCGGTAGATCTCTGCGTAAACGCATACCACAGTGCGGTGCCATAGTCAAACGTTACGGTCCTGTTTCCTGTGAAATTGACTGTTTGAGGAGTCTTGTCCTCAAGCTCGATTGACGCACGGACCTGTGTTCCCTCAAACCATGTTCCAGAAACCTTTGGGAAGCCCTCGCACTGGCTGGCGGCACCGACTGCAAGCTGCGTGGATAAAACCACAGCGGGGAGCAGGCGTGCCCAAAACATGGATATGGTGGCCATCCTCTGCTGCAAAATCACAAAATCTACAAACACTTGGTAGCAAATGCCTGCAGAGCAAGATAGAAAGGAATGGCGCATCATGTCGAAAGTGGCTGAGATGGAGGGCCTCATGAACTCACGGCCTTGAAACTGCATTGAAGCTCCTCTAGAGACGCTCTTCCGGAACAGCTGCAATTGTCGTCCTGTGTCGCGGCAGCCGTGCTGAGGAGCTCACCATCCGTACTGCTGTGATGCCTCACTAGGCAGCCCTGACGCGGACATGCAGAGCAAACGCGACGGGCAAAGCCACTTCAGCAGGTGGCACAGAAATCGGCTGAAGGACGAGCCTGTACCGGAACGGCATCCTCGGTAAAATTTTGCAGCACTGGGCATGGGCAAACCGTTCTCAGCTTCCATCAGCTTCCAGCGCGACCGCTGCAGCGCAACTCGATGTCGCCCCTGCAGGCCAAACGCTCCCAAATGGCACAATGCAGACAAGTTCATGCACGCATGCCACAGGGGGATTGAGACATCAGCGGTGCTATTGCGCGACAATCGCCTCGACGTTAGAATCATATATAGTACTACATAGATAAACTAGGCGAGCAGAAGCTTGCAAGATCGAAGCGAAAGCAGTGCCCGAGATGGCTGGCCCCCTGCTATTTCAGCAAGGCCTTGTAAGCGGAGAAAAGCCGAACATGGATCCCACTTACACTGTGGTGCCTGGCAGCCCACTGTCGATCTCGATCTCTGTGCGCAAAGCTACCAGGCCCACGCTTGAAGAGGCTCTGATGACAGCTTCGCGCACGGCACCCGGGGCTCCTGAAGAGCGGGCCTCTGAGGAGAAGGGGCGAAGCCGTGAAACGCAAACAGCGTCGACCCTGAGGCTGAGGCAACAGAATTCAGAACGTGGAAACATTCTGTATGAGAAAGACGACATGGCAACACGCAGGAAATTGCCGGGCCGGAGTCGGGAAAGAGGACGGCGAGAGTCGCGGAGGACAAAACAAAGCACCCACAACTAGGTGGTTTAAGCTGTAAGCATGTATGTCTCAGAACGGCATCGGCCCTTGATTGTATCAGTATCCTGAACGGAGTTGGTGGTCCGAGAGAAAAAAGATGTGGAAATTCCAGAATCCGAACAATGTTTCATGGGTGGCAAACCTAGGAACGGCAAAAGATACCACCCAACAGGATATCGGTGGCACGCCGTAATAGCGAATAGAGACGTGGGCCAATATCCACACCTGCCACATGAACTAGGATCCTACAAGGCTCCCCATGATAAGGATAAGACCACGAACGCACGCTCACCACATTCCAACACTGCATGAAACCGCAACAATAATCAAAAGAAGCCCATCTCAGCCCGCTGAGGGTCTTGATAATGAGGATACTGTTGCTTGGCGGGCGGTGGGTCCTTGTTCTTTGAACCCCCAGAACCCAGAACGGCATGAAGTTGGCAAAGAGCCCGCGACCAAGTTGAGAGCATCTCAGCGGGTCTTGGACCAGTCCCAAAACTGGGGAGGACGCAGAGCGGCGAAGCTCAGCGAAGCCCCGCGGCGGCATGCAGCCAAGAACCTTGCACCATCTTGCACCTTGGTCAACGGATCCAAGGACGCCAAGCGCCCGGCCTAGACGCGTGTCCGCCGGAGGAGACGACGTCAGGAGCGAAAGTTGCACGGATGCGACCAACACCCTTAAAAACTCACCCATGTGTGCAGAACGCTGCACAGGTTAAGGCTACCGCGAGTCTGGCATGCCTGTCCACGAGTGGGATAGTTCTTTCGAATCACGGTCTTGAGGCAGCTACAGGCTACAGTACCGCACTGGAAGTGAGGGCAAGGGATTGTGGAGGCCGCTGTGCGTGCGGCTTGCTTAGTGCCTTCCACGCCGTACAGTTCAGGCAGTGGCTGCTGTCGGGCCGGAGCCCTGAAGTGGTCGCGCCGCGGATTGTGCAAGCGGAGCACATGGACTCACCGAGGAGGGGAATGCTGACGGCCAGGGGGACGAACGCCCGCAGCACAGAGCTGCGAAGGTAGCAGCCAAGAGCCATCCCTTGAAGGAGAAGGACAAGGCAAGTGCAGCTGAAGCAGAGGCAGAGAGTTTTTGGAAGCCGCGCCTTTGAGCTGCAGACGAGCACCCCCGCCATCCGAGCGGCCCAAGACGAGGTAGACTCTCCCTGGCAAAAGGCCTTGCAAGAAGGCGAAGAGATGACTCGACGAATGACTGAACTGAGTGTGACAAGCCACCTCTCGGGCATTACTTTGTGGACGCAATCTGATGATTGCAGCAAGTATTGCAGCAGCCCCGCTGAAAGCGGAGAGTGGATGAGCACGAAGGAGGAGACGGAAGGCTATGGGGGAGGGGGGGGGCATAACGCTGCTGGCGTCACAACGTGAACCTGCTGACACTTGGTGTGGCGGGTGCGCTCGGCCCCGTGTTGGAGGGCGCCCGCGAAGCGAGCGCCGGTGGTTTTTCTTCAGGACCCTACACGGCGTATGCGGGACGAGCAGGTTGACGTCAAACTTTCGACGATTCGACGGTTCGTTCTTTGTGTCGGAGCTGCGGAGCTACTGTTTGGAGGGTGTCTGTCGCAAGTATGCGAACATTGAACGAAGGCTTCGCACCTCAGAGGAATGAAAGATTCTAAACTGGAATCGCTCCCGAACGAGCGTGCCGCAGACGCAGCCTGTACCAAAGCGAGCTCGAACCATTAGTCGGGGCAGGCTTGCCAGAGCAGACAACTCCAGATGCCGGATTATGATGCGATGCGGATCCCGTTTGCCTCTCAATCAGACATACATGCTTCGAAGTCGGACTTCTGCTCACATCTTAGCCCCATCGAAAGGCAAGCATGCTGCCCAAGCCCTTCCACATGGAGCAGTTTCCCTGTGGCAAGCAAGCAAGCAAGCTTCAAACGGAAGTGTCCTCTCATTGCCAAACTGGAATTTCCAAGTGGGTTGGAGCTGCGATGATGTTTTGTCCCAGCCAACGCAATGTACCGACAGAAATTGGTTGCCACACGTCACGGCATCGCGAGAAAACTGCACGGTTCAATCGAGTCAGGGACTGCTGCGCGTAGGGAATAGCGACCAAATGGGAGGTTCCTAAAATAGGGAACCCTAATGTAGTACCCTAAATAGAAGGATCCTTATTTCAAGGACCCCAAAATAAGGTACCCCCCCCCCCCCCCCCCACACTTTTCGGAAACTCCCGAATCAGACCTATCAGTGAAGTCAGCGGCTGCCAGGCAAAGTCGCGTGCGATCTGCTGTGTTGAGTTGCAACCAAGGCCACGACGCGGCGCCGACTGCCAGTCTCCAGAACCCTTGGTCTCCTACCCGAGGGTTCACGAACTGTGTCATTCAACGACTGAGACTTCGGCAATCCAACATCTCTGTTCAATGCCGCAATCATGCGCACATCCTGCAAGGCAGCCCCGTATCTCCCCATAACCACGTGCAGGAGACCTCGTGATTATGATGCCCGTCGGGTTTACAAGGCACTCGACTTTCCGAGAAGGCACGCCAGTTGACACGAGGCACGACAATCATTGCTGAAGACCATACTCGTTGTGCACACGACACCGAGTACCTCTGTTATTGCATTGCTGCAGCTGCAGCTGCATATCTGCGAAGCATTACGCAGACGAAGACAAAGGATGGGGGGAGAGAAAGAGTGTGAAAGCGAGAAAGAGACAGAGAGGGAGGGAGGGAGAGCGAAAGAAAGAGAGAAGGGGGCGGGGATCAGGCTGACCGAGACCCCCTCTGGCCAAATGTCCGGCTTGCATGCCAGGCCCAGCCTGGTGCGACGTTTACAAAAGGCTCAGGCCTTGAAAATGCTGCGCACCGGTCTGCTAGCTCTGCTCTCGGGGATAGTCTGCAAGTCAGTCAAGTACACAGATACCATATGCACACGCTTACAGTATGCCACTGCCGGCCTATCCAAAGACATGCTGTGGGAGCTTCAGAAAGCCTTCTCGCACCGGCACGCGGGTTTTGGTATGCCTTTGGTTGCGCGGCAAATTGAGTCTTCAGCCACGTCCCACTAGGATTTCTGGAGTCCTCGCGAAGAGTCCTAGCATTTCCGGTTGGTGTGGGGCGCATCACAGCCCAACCGTTGACGAAGCCGCGACGACAGTAGTGCAGGATTGCTGTCGATACAGGCATGCTTTTCGAGTCTGCGACGGCGTTTGCCTGGAGGACTGTGCTTATGTTGTACCGAGCAGGTCTGGTCGGCAGGACTCATCTCTAAAGCGTGAAATCATGCGAAACCGGAGTCAATGTTCAACCGTTCTGTCATTATTGCCAGATTATGTCAAGACCAGGTGCGACCGTCACGCTGGAAGCCTGGCTGCTAACCCGCGCCTGTGGCCGAGCACAACTCGGCCCCATGGGCCAGTAGTGAACACAAGCATCCCCAGGGGGAGTGACACGCGTGGCTCATTTGACATGGCATCAGGATGCGGCGGTGCGGATCATCGAGGTAAGCGACAGGCGCAAGGTTGCACAGGAACACCACACTGTAACAAAGGCCCCAATTTCCGCAAAAGAAAGCCGGCAGCATGCGCGTCATGGGCCCAAATCTGGCACGAGAAATCCAGCATCATCCAGCATCACAAGCATCACCTCTGCGTTTCTGAGAAGTTCCTTCTTTTCAACCGGCATAGCCCAATAGCTTGTGGTCGATTTGCACTCTTCTCTAATCCCCTGCACTGAAAGCGCGGTAACCAGCCACCGAGACAGGAAGCATCACTCTGACAAGGACGGCTTTCTTCTGCAAATGCGTGCGATGCTCTGGAGTTTCCGACTGTGCGGTCTGCGCCGTGCATCGCACTTCTTCGGCAAGAGCGGGGCTTGCCACGAAACTGTGAAGAGAACGCTTCTTGGGATTGCACGTCACTCTCCCTCGTGAAGGCCCTGCAGCAGGGATCCTTGGTGCGTCTGATGCACATTTTCCTTGCTCCGCTTCGATGCTACCAACGCCCGGAGCGAACATGGACTCGCTCACGAGTAAGTTTTGGGTTACCTGTTTTTGTCCAAGCAAATACGCCAATTTCAACACCCCTTAACCAGCAAGATGGAAAGCATCTCGAGTATGGGTCGACGGAGCGTCGAGTTTATGCACGATCTTGAGGCTAAACTCCACGATGAGCGAATGCTGGATGGTAGTCTCCATGCTTTGGCTTGCCGAACTCGAAGACGCTCCCCGACATGAGACATGCGAGGGACCAACATCATCTGAGCTCGACAATCTCAAGCGCAACCGGCCTTCCCACACCGTGTATGGAGCTACACATTCAGCAACTACTTGCCTAAACGTCAGTCCTTCATGGCCAAAGCCGCCACGTCCCTCCCGTCGATTTCAAGGAAAGAAAAGCCTGCATATATAGGGAAGAAAGCCACTGCAAGAAGTGCGGTTTCAGCCTCCCGCCTGACATGCAGCACCGTCTCCATCGTCTCCCTGCTTCCAGCAGGACCATGAAGTCTCTACTTCAATGACCGCTCAAGCGCTTGCACGAAGACCTTCCACAGAATCAAGGCTTACTCTCCACCTTGATCCCCGATCTCAATCTAACAGCTACGCTGCAACAAAATTGCCGGGCTGCAGGCCCGTGCTACCGCATCAAAAAACTCGTGACTCAGTGGGTCGCGTTACATGCCGCTGTCCACAACAGTCCAAGCACGAGTTGGATTTCTTCTACCATCAGAGTGGTGGCACGCTTGGTCTCGGTTTGATCACATTGCTGTCCTAGGGACCTATGACATTATCACATGTTGCAGCTTTGGTGATTTGCGGTCAAGAGACACGCGGCACCGCCACAAGCTCGGACAGAAAATGGAGCTAATAACAAAGCTCTCATGAGATCTGAAGCGGGGTCGGTCGCTTAAATGGCCTTAGGCCGAAGCGAAAGAGATCTGAGCTATCGTCACGTAAGTGTTCTGCGAAGCCGAAGCTGAGCCCACGAGTTCACCAGTGGCGGCGTGGCCAGCCCCAAGTGTTGCGAGGGAATCGCTGGGTCTGGTAGTAGGACTTCTTCTTCCCCACCAAGCAGGCCTCGATGTCCTCACGAATCTGCAAGAGGCTCCATTCCATCTGGGCCGCCTTGAGATTCGCCTGCTCCGGCGTCAGTGCGAGAGGGTCCTCCAAGGGGCCGTTGGGCTGCGAAGGCTGAAGAATTGGCCAGCCTTGGGCCCCGGTTGCGCCATTGGTGTCCTGCGAATCATAACTTGTGAGAAGCAGAGAAGATAGTTCAGGGCGCTCTGACCTTTTCAAAAGGGTTCTGAATAAATACATTCAATCAACACTGGGCTCATGCTGCACCGCTTCCTTCATCTCCAACATTGAACACACTTCTGGTCCGTGGTAAGGCCTGCAAATCACGACTTCCCTGGGCAGCTTCCCGTCACCGCTGGCGATCTGTAGCAACTCCGTAGCACCATCCTGACCGGACAAATGCTCTTGGCAAACAGACTCTTCGCAAAGGCGAAGCAGGTCTGTCCATCTACGTGCTGAAAGGTTTTATACCGCTTCATGAGTCTTCTTTTTTGCTCTATCTTATTTAACATGCGGTGTCCATCAGCAGTCTGGTCTGGGCACAATTGGTTTTCAGCACACAAGCCAGTCCAGATGACGAACGACCAAGACTGGCTTCAAGAACGCAGCCGCTGTGAGAAGAACACCGAGTAACAACAATGGAGTCACCGAACATGGAGCTTGAGATCTCAAAAACCTTCTTCGAGCACCCCATGCCATCTCCTGTGGGTTGAGGCCGGCAAGTAAAGAACCGATGCATTCCTTCAAAAAGAAAACCCTTCAACGGCAATAGCAAGCAACGTCAAGATTGCGGACATCAGACGCTGTGAGCAACACCATCAGCTGCACAACAAGCCTCCTGCTTGCATGTCGGGTCCGTGTCCGTGTCGTTCGGGAGAGCTGCCACGACAAGGGCCGTCGCCACAAAGCTCCAGAACTTCGCAAACCTGCCGTGTGGACAGCGCAGCGGCACTTGATATTTTCTGAGCACAAATCTTACAAAGGGCTGTCCATCAAGCTTGCGCTGACTCCCTCGATGATGAGATTGTCACTTGTTGCTGGGAAACTGTGTGGCGAAGCTGTGCAAGAGAAAAGCAGTGTTATTGGGCGAGAATCGTCTCGACATACTTACATAGTACTACATAATTACATAGGCAAACTAGGCCACTAGGCGGAGATCGATGGCGCCCTGCTATTCAGCAAGGCCGTGTAAGCGGAGAAAAAGCCGAACATGGGTCCTATTTAAAAACTACTTTCTTCCTCGGGCTCTGAAATCTGCGCACAAGGCACCAGGGGGTCCTTCAGGACCGTGCCTCGGAGTACAAGCCGCGACCAGCAGCGCCGTGAGGCAGAGTTCAGAGAGTTCAGAATGCAAAGCGCAGTGGAAGCTGCAACGAAAAGACGACATGGGAGCGAGAACTTGCCGGGCCGGAGTCGGAGGACGAGAGTCACGGCGACAAAGCAGGAGGTTTTAAGGATGTATGCCTGGCATTGGCCCTTGATTGTATCAGTATCCTGAAAGGAGTTGGCGGTCCGAGAGAAAAAAGTGGTGATTCCACACAAAATTCCAGAATCCGAGTAGGGTTTCCTAGGAACGGTGAACGAGATCACCCAACAGGATGGGTGGCAAGCCGTAACAGCGAATAGAGATGTCGGCGGATATCCACACCCCGGCCCTGGCCCCTGGCTGGGAGGAAAAGGGTCTGTCAAGTGTTGCTGAAACTACAGTAGCTGCCACATGAAGCAGGATCCTACAAGGCTGCCCAAGATAAGACCACGAACACTCACCACATTCCAAATTGCCCGTCTTGCACTCAGTGAATCAAACCCCAAGGCGACCACACCCTCAACAACCAACGCATGTTTGCAAAATGCTGCTCAGATTAAGGCTACCACGAGTCCGGCATGCCTGTCAACGAGTTACATACTTCTATCGAAACACGGTCTTGCGGCAGCCACAGGCTACAGCTGCTCGAGGAGAACCTCATCCTGCATGGTACCCGAAGTGATTGGCGGTACCGAACAACCGCAAAGAACCGTGGCGCTAATGGCTGCGAAGGGCGAGGATGGGCGAGGTTCCTTGAAGGGAGCGCATAGTTTCCCATGGGGTGAAACCTCAACCGTGGTTCCACCGAAGTCAGCTGAGTGGCCTTAGAATTGCTTCCACATCTTGTGCATCTTTCCTGAGGGAGCAGTGAGGGTGCACAGGCGAAGTTAAGCAGCGGAGCACCCAAACCTGAGGTTCATGCCATGACTCACTTGGCCACTTCAACGGGTCAGGACATATCATGACCTTTGTCTGTCAGTCAACACGTCAAACTGTATTTGTCTGAAGTGCACCTCCTTCGGAGAAATCCCCTTCCATGAGAGTGGTATCTCCCTCGTCAAAGCTTCTCATCTCCACCTCACAGAATGGTACCGGCCTGGGCCTCAAGATGTACAAGCGCCTTTCGGCACGTAGTCCGAGTCCGTCACACCAGACTTCCACACTTCCGCTGTTGTGGCAAATCGGCCTCTAACTCTACATGCTAAGTACCGTATCATCGGCCTGTCGTGTCGCCTCCATCATCCCCACAGTCGGGCCTAGTAGGACAAGCCTGCAGAAGGCGGCACCAAGAGCAAACCATGATCGGCAAGCCTGCTTTTCATTGGGACAGAACCATGATCGGACAGGGGTGGGCACAGGTACCTGCCGAATGGCGGCATGTTTGAGCACCCAAGCCCACGGCCACCACTTTGCTCCACAGCGAGTGTTCTGAAAGCATGTCGTTTTGTGAGGGTTCGAGAAACATCCAAACAAACGAACATTTCCATCACACCTTCGGAGGAAGCTCGGCGACTCACCCGGGGGACGAAGTGAACAGCTTTGTTATCTCATTTTGGGTTATCTCATTTTGGTCAAACACTCTCAGGACATCTTTCGACCATCTAAAGTGGAAATCGAAGCTGGAGGGACGAGTTTGGGACGAGCTCAAACATGCACAGCTCCTATATGCCGCCCGATCCTGCCGCTTCAAGCCACTTCGGGGTTGGGAATGCCTCGCCTCGTTCCCCTGAAACCATTCAACTTATACACAACCAGGGTGAACAACCCGTCCCGGGTGATGGCATGCCATCAACTACATGAATGTCACAGGCGCCTGCTGCCTGTTCATACAGGCTCTGAAGTTCGTACCCATTGGAGCCTGACTTACAGGCTTCTAGTTGTGCTGCGGCCCCGCATGGCATGCCGAACTTGGTGCCCGGCAATGTCTCACAAAGGTTGGATTTCAAGACCTGTGCAACGAAGCAAGTGGTCCGACTGCCCACACAGACCACGAAGTATGACTGGCCTCGTCTGTCGCCTCAACGACTGAACGGCGCATTTGCTCTTGTTGCTTGCTGGGCAACTCCGGCATCTGAATTGCAGCAACACGTCTTGCCAAAGGGTATCCTGCAGACACCGGTCCTGCATGCCCTCCACGCCGTAAGCTGGAGCACCTCACAAAAGCAACAAAGTCTGAAGACGATCTTTCTGTACTTATAGCTACGAATACAATCGGGACAGTCGCCCTCAAAAGTAAGTAGCGCGACAGCTTAGCCAGGCAATTACTGCATCTGCCGCTACTCTGTCCGTACAGTGATGTACAGTGGAAACCAGATGGCGTGGCCAGGAATGCTTTAGAAGGTTACAACTTGCATTTGGTGAGCCGACGGACGTGTGCGGACAATTGAACGTGCTAAGCGACGGCAGTGGCCTGCTAGTTTGGGCATTTCCATCCTCGCGAGCGAGATCTAGGCGAGATCTAGGTGTGAAAGCAGGCAGAGTATCAGGATGTAGGCAACATGCCGTTGTCCTGGATGCAACTGCCTCGGCCTTGTATCGAAATGCGACTGTGGGCGGTTCATTCTGAGGCTGGCACATCCCCCTTGCACACGCTGAAGCCTTCAAGAGCAGGAAGAGCAGGAGCACGCTCTCACCAAAAGACGTCCGCGGCCTGTGTTGAGAATTGCAGACTGGTGGCACCCCAACGAGGGTCGGAGCTGGGGATCCTGGAATCGAGGACAACGGGAACTGGGGAGCTTGGGGCGCACACTCTACAGAACAGAGAACCATAGGTTCTGCTGCGTAACCCTCACTGACGCTAAGATCGCTGCACTTGCACGTCATGCCATGGCATCGCATGTCTGCGTCAGGCTTGGATGACCTTTGGCACTCTGCGGCTTTCGGGATTTGCGGTGGGGGTCCTCTCCTCCTCACATATTCCCCCCTGCACACGGTGCAGCGTCCTTGTGAGAAAAGTCACGGTCCCTGCCCGTCCAGTGCACCTGCCTGGTGTCCGACCCGAACTCCCACTTGAATGCTACACTGCCACACTTCCATGCACCACATCATGCTAGCACCCATATGTCCAAAGCTTCATGCCCAAACCCTCCAACCACAGACCTTTGACAAAAAAACTCGAAAGACACCGATGTGTCAAAGGCCCTCAGCCCTGTCCAGGGCCAAAGAGCCGCGCCTTGAGAGTCATTGAACCGAAGTCAATGACCTTCCGAACCTGCGGAGCTTGAGAGGGTGTGTCGCGGTCCAAAAAAAGGCTTGAATCAAGTCTCGCCTCTGCTGGACTTGCGAAGCTGAAAGAGCATCTTGGGCCTCACAGTCGACACTGGACATCAGGGAGTACTTGAGGTCTTCGTGGTTGCACTCAAGCACGGATCTGTTGGGTTTGCTGGCAGCAGCTGAACCACTCGATCTCGTTGCACGACACTCAAGAATCCCGGACCGGAGGGATCTGTTCTCGTCTCAGTCGTGGGTGCTTATGTTTCCAGTGTCTTGGAGCTTAGGTGCTAATCTGGGGAATCCCGTGCATCATCCCGACATCATAACTAGTCTTAGTTGTTGCATGCTTCTGGTACATGTGAGACGCTTCCTAGAGTTCAGCCCCTTTGGCCATCACGAGCTTTGAGTCAAACGGTCTTACTCCATCTCACGCATTCACTGCCAACGAGGCACAGGTTGAGGCTCTTTCGGAGTAGGCAGCAAGCTGCCTCTATACTCGACGTCTTTTTTCTCTGCTTCGAGTGATGAGGGTCCGGGTACCAACAACCCGAAATTAGTGGAGGAAACTAATTTTACAATTGCATCCTGGGGCCCTGGGGTGTATTGTCTCATAGGGACCATAAGAGAGTCCGAATACTCATTATTTAAGCTCCAAAAAGTATATGAGGACTACAAGGAAACAGGAATTCTCTTCTTTAGCTTTCCAGATTAGTACCAAACCTGTCTTTACTTCTGTCTATATTGTTACTTATCCTGTTACTTGCATCAGTACTCATACAGTACCAGTCTTTACTAAGCCTCCTGCAGAAGACCGCGGCAGGCTGGGCTCTTATCGACGAGCTTACTATATAAGACCATGATAGGTCTATAAGACAAAAATGATTTGCTTATCATGGCAGTGTATATTGATTCGCCTCGGCCCCGGCCGAAGCGGTCAGAGGTTCCTATGCGGATTTTCCTCTACTCCCCACCTCTTAATACCCTCCCCAATGAGCCCACCCCTCCAAAGAATGCTGCTTGACACCCGCCCCCCCCCCCCCCGTGTGCGGCTTAAACCGGGTTTATTTGGAAGCTGGCACTCGGGTTTTTGCTACCTAATTACAAATAAAGAGAGACAGCTTCCAAAAACCCTATGGGGTTTCTGGGTGGGAAGGCCGGGAATTTATATAATTAAATAATTAAATATTGGGGGACCCGGGGGAGGGGGGGCCAGACCCCCTCCCCGGGGTCCTCCCCAATATTTAAATTATATAAATTATTTAAGTTATTTAAATTATTTAAATTATTTAAAAAAAATTAAATTATGGCCGAATTTAAATAATTTAAATAATTTAAATATTTTGGGACCCCCAATATTAAAATTATTTAAACTATTTAAATTCGGCCTGAATTTAAATAATTTAAATAATTTAAATAATTTAAATATTGGGGAGGACCCCGGGGAGGGGGCCGGGCCGGGAATTTAAATTATTTAAATAATTTAAATATTTCCGGGTCCCCAATATTTAAATTATTTAAATTATTTAAATTCCCGGCCCGACCCCCTCCCCGGGGTCCTCCCCAATATTTAAATTATTTAAATTATTTAAAGTATTTAAATTCAGGCCGAATTTAAATAATTTAAATAATTTAAATATTGGGTGTCCCAAAATATTTAAATTATTTAGATTATTTAAATTCGGCCTGAATTTAAATAATTATCTAAATAATTTAAATAATTTAAATATTGGGGAGGCCCCCGGGGAGGGGGCCGGGCCGGGAATTTAAATAATTTAAATATTTCCGGGTCCCCAATATTTAAATTATTTAGATTATTTAAATTCCCGGCCCGACCCCCTCCCCGGGGTCCTCCCCAATATTTAAATTATTTAACTTATTTAAATTATTATTTAAATTCAGGCCGAATTTAAATAGTTTAAATAATTTAAATATTTTGGGACCCCCAATATTTAAATTATTTAAATTATTTAAATTCGGCCTGAATTTAAATAATTTAAATAATCTAAAAAGTTTAATTAGTTCAAATAATTTAAATAATTTAAATATTGGGGAGGCCCCCGGGGAGGGGGCCGGGCCGGGAATTTAAATAATTTAAATAATTTAAATATTTCCGGGTCCCCAATATTTAAATTATCTAAATTATTTAAATTCCCGGCCAGACCCCCTCCCCGGGGTCCTCCCCAATATTTAAATTATTTAAATTATTTAAATTATTTAAAGTATTTAAATTATTTAAATTCAGGCCGAATTTAATTAATTTAAATAATTTAAATATTTTGGGACCCCCAATATTTAAATTATTTAAATTATTTAAATTATTTAAATTCCCGGCCCGACCCCCTCCCCGGGGTCCTCCCCAATATTTAAATTATTTAAATTATTTAAATTATTTAAATTATTTAAATTATTTAAATTCAGGCCGAATTTAAATAATTTAAATAATTTATATATTGGGGGTCCCAAAATATTTAAATTACTTAACTTATTTAAATTCGGCCTGAATTTAAATAATTTAAATAATCTAAATAATTTAAATAAGTTAAATAATTTAAATATTGGGGAGGACCCCGGGGAGGGGGCCGGGCCGGGACTTTAAATAATTTAAATATTTCCGGGTCCCCAATATTTAAATTATTTAAATTATTTAAATTCCCGGCCCGACCCCCTCCCCGGGGTCCTCCCCAATATTTAAATTATTTAAATTATTTAAATTCAGGCCGAATTTAAATGATTTAAATAATTTAAATATT